TACAATCATTTTGCTTTTGCACTGTTTTGTTTTTAACTGTTATCAATCATTAGTATGATATTAATAAAGTAGTAAAATAATAGCATTTTATTCTTATGTTGAGTTCTCTTTCCTTCCCTGATTGTTAGGTTTGCACAACCAGAAATTAGCAATGACTAATTTCCCACAACTAATAGCAACATTTTCACAGGGTTGCAATTGTTAACAGTTCAAATGACACTGTTTGCACATTTAAAGCAAATATCAACCAGAGCATGATTTATTTATTCCGACCCGGTAATTATTGCATAGAGGGGATATTTGTGTTTATTAAAGGAGCAGTACAGAAAAAAAACAAAAACGTACATACTCACCTCTATGGCTGAAGAATCTCTAAGATGCTGTAGCTGTCCCCAGACAGCTCTAAGACCGAGAAATGAGTGATCACATGCCCACTGATTGCTCAGTTCTCAGCCCACTCTGAGCAGAGAGAGGTGACTGTCAGTCACCACTCGCTGCTCTTTGCCTGCAATGCTCACTGGAGCACTACGCATGGAAGGGCTGGCTCAGGCTCTGAGTGACATGCAGAGAGGGCTGAGCTAGCTGCCAGTCAAATATCTGGGTGAATCTCAACATTATCATCAGGATACTTTCAGAGACCAGACCGGCTCGGTGATGTCAGCCAACAGCAGGATTTTGCCTGCTGTCAGCTGATTCTAGGTCACAGGAGTGCAAAGTGAGAAAGGATTAGGACCTCTGTTGTTTTTTTCCTGCTATCCAGGGCTCTGTTAGAGAGTTCCCATCACTTACTGCCACAATAACTATAGGCAGGAAGTGAAGGAAAATCTGCAGCAGAGACACAGGCAGCAATAAAATGTTTAAAGGGCATGTAGCCTTCCATTATTCTACAAAAAAAATAATATATACAGTCAGGTCCATAAATATTGGGACATGGACACAATTCTAACATTTTTGGCTCTATACACCTCACAATGGATTTGAAATGAAACGAACAAGATGTGCTTTAACTGCAGACTGTCAGTTTTAATTTGAGGTTATTTACATCCAAATCAGGTGAACGGTGTAGGAATTACAACAGTTTGCATATGTGCCTCCCACTTGTTAAGGGACCAAAAGTAATGGGACAGAATAATAATCATAAATCAAACTTTCACTTTTTAATACTTGGTTGCAAATCATTTGCAGTCAATTACAGCCTGAAGTCTGGAACGCATAGACATCACCAGATGCTGGGTTTCATCCCTGGTGATGCTCTGCCAGGCCTCTACTGCAACTGTCTTCAGTTCCTGCTTGTTCTTGGGGCATTTTCCCTTCAGTTTTGTCTTCAGCAAGTGAAATGCATGCTCAATCGGATTCAGGTCAGGTGATTGACTTGGCCATTGCATAACATTCCACTTCTTTCCCTTGAAAAACTCTTTGGTTGCTTTTATGTCCATCTGCACTGTGAAGCAGCGTCCAATGAGTTCTGAAGCATTTGGCTGAATGTGAGCAGATAATATTGCCCGAAACACTTCAGAATTCATCCTGCTGCTTTTGTCAGCAGTCACATCATCAATAAATACAAGAGAACCAGTTCCATTGGCAGCCATACATGCCCACGCCATGACACTACCACCAACATGCTTCACTGCTGAGGTGGTATGCTTAGGATCATGAGCAGTTCCTTTCCTTCTCCATACTGTTCTCTTCCCATCACTCTGGTACAAGTTGATCTTGGTCTCATCTGTCCATAGGATGTTGTTCCAGAACTGTGAAGGCTTTTTTAGATGTCGTTTGGCAAACTCTAATCTGGCCTTCCTGTTTTTGAGGCTCATTAATGGTTTACATCTTGTGGTGAACCCTCTGTATTCACTCTGTTGAAGTCTTCTCTTGATTGTTGACTTTGACACACATACACCTACCTCCTGGAGAGTGTTCTTGATCTGGCCAACTGCTGTGAAGGGTGTTTTCTTCACCAGGGAAAGAATTCTTTGGTCATCCACCACAGTGGTTTTCCGTGGTCTTCTGGGTCTTTTGGTGTTGCTGAGCTCACCGGTGCATTCCTTCTTTTTAAGAATGTTCCAAACAGTTGTTTTGGCCACGCCTAATGTTTTTGCTATCTCTCTGATGGGTTTGTTTTGTTTTTTCAGCCTAATGATGGCTTGCTTCACTAATAGTGACAGCTCTGTGGATCTCATCTTGAGAGTTGACAGCAACAGATTCCAAATGCAAATAGCACACTTGAAGTGAACTCTGGACCTTTTATCTGCTCATCGTAATTGGGATAATGAGGGAATAAAACACACCTGGCCATGGAACAGCTGAGAAGCCAATTGTCCCATTACTTTTGGTCCCTTAACAAGTGGGAGGCACATATGCAAACTGTTGTAATTCCTACACCGTTCACCTGATTTGGATGTAAATACCCTCAAATTAAAGCTGACAGTCTGCAGTTAAAGCACATCTTGTTAATTTTATTTCAAATCCATTGTGGTGGTGTATAGAGCCAAAAATGTTAGAATTGTGTCGATGTCCCAATATTTATGGACCTGACTGTATATACACAATCCTATATCCACAGTTGATCCAGAGGAAGGCAAAAAAATCAGCAAAGCATGAACCAATTTGCTCCAGCAGGGGAAAAATTCCTTCCTGACCCCACAAGAGGCAATTGGATATTCCCTGGATCAACTTTACCTATAAATATCAGTATCCAGTTATATTATGTGAATTTAGGAAAGAATCCAGGCCTTTTTAAAGCAATCTACTGATCTGGCCAGAACCAGTTCTTGAGGGAGCCTATTCCACATTTTCACAGCTCTTACTCTGAAAAAGCATTTCCGTATATGGAGAATCAATCTCTTTTCCTCCAGATGTAGAGTGCCCCCTTGTCCTCTGTGATGACCTTAAAGTGAATAACTCTACACTGAGTTCACTGTATGAAAAACCTATGTATTTATATGTTGATCACATGCCCCCTTAATCTCCTCTTCTCAAAAGAAAATAAATTCAGTTCCTCTAATCTTTCCTCATAGCTGAGCTCCTCCGTGCCTCCTATCAGTTTGATTGCCCTTCTCTGTACTTTCTCCAGTTCCTGAATATTCTTTTTGTGAATTGGTACCCAAAACTGAACTGCATATTCCAGATGAGGTATTACTAATGATTTGTACAGGAGTAATATGATATCTCTCTCTCTGGAGTCTATACCTCTTTTAATACAAGAGAGGATGTTTCTCGCTTTAGAAACCGCAGCTTGGCATTGCATGCCATTATTAAGCTTGTGATCTACCAGAACTCCCAGATCCTTCTCCACCATTGATTCCCCCAGTTGTACCCCCCTAGTATGTATGATGCATGCATATTCTTAGCCCCCAAGTGCATAACCTTACATTTATCAACATTAAACCTCATTTGCCACATAGTTGCCCAATTTAACAGTACATTGAGGTCGGCTTGTAAATTGAAGACATCCTGTAAGGACGTTATTCCACTGCACAGCTTGGTGTCATCTGCAAAGACTGAAATGGTATTTTTAATCCCAGACCCTATATCATTTATAAATATATTAAAAATTAAAGTTCCCAACACTGAACCTTGGGGTACACGACTAACAACGCTAGACCATTCAGAGTATGAATCATTAACCACTACTCTTTGAATACGATCTTTTAGCCAGTTTTCTATCCATTTACAAACTGATTTTTCTGAGCCTGTAGACCAGGGGTCAGCAACCTGTAAATCTAGATCTACAAGTAGATTGCACCCAGGTAACTAGTAGATTATGGTCTGGGCTTGCTGACCCGCCATCCAAGAGCATCAAACAGAGTGCAATGCAGAGGGGCTACTTGTAAAGTTAGAGCTGTAGTAGGGAGGAAGAGCTGTTTAGGCCGATGCCTCTTCTGTAGTGCCAGCTTCTGTCCCATGCTGAGTGATATCAACTGCACTCCACCTCCTATCCCAGCTAGCAGTCTCCAGCGTGGTGCCAGCAGCAGGAAAGAAGAGATCTTCAGGTCAGTGTGAATCAACACACTGGGCATAATAGTATAGGGCAGCCTTCACACTGCAGTGTACCTGCAGCTTTCCTGCAGGTTATTTTCTGCTTAGCCATAGACTTATAGTGCATCAAAACTCCTGAATGCAGAAGTTTTGGTGCACTTTCAGAAAGTGAACCACACCTGCAGGATATCTATGGCAGAGTGCAGCTAACCCAGGAAAGTCAAAGATGCACTGCGTTGTACCATGGTGCAGGTAAACCGCAGCACATTAGTGTGAAAGTAGCCTTATAGGGGGCTCAGAACAGTTAGGATTCATTTACACTTGCAGTTTGAGGGTGGTAAAACCCCACAGTTAAGATGTTTTTTTACCCACCCCTACCCCAAATGCAACTGTTTAGCTGTAGTGGCCAGAGGTGTACAGAGGTCGCAGCCACAGTAGGAGTTATAGACCCTGTCATGGTTGGTGGGTGTAGCACCTGCGATTAACACCCGCTAAAAGCAACGGGGGGTTTAATTCCTGCTGTGGCATGTTACACCTTTGGCTGCTGCCTCAGCAGCTAATGGGGTAGGGATTGGTGTGAACGAGCCCTAAGGCTGCCGCTGCCGGATGCAACCCGGGCTCGTTCACTGCTGCTCCTCTGAAAGGCAATCTGAGTGTGTTTGACAGGTGGTGAGGAGGCGCTATGCTTCCTTTTTACCACCCATGATTGCCGTGCAATGCACTCAATTGTGACATGGTAGCAATTAATGTTTTAAATTAGATGTTGGGAGGCAACACTGCGCCAGGTGATCTTTGACTTCTCCCATGTGGTTCAGGTAAATCTCCAACTCCTTAAGGTTGCCTAACCCTGCTGTAGACTTTACCTTACACATTAGCTGTGTGTGAGGAACTGTTTTGCAAAATCCAAGTATACCACTTTCACAGCCACCCCTCTGTCCAACTATACCACGTGCACAGCCACCCCTCTGTCCAAGTATACCACTTTCACAGCCACCCCTCTGTCCAACTATACCACGTGCACAGCCACCCCTCTGTCCAAGTATACCACGTTCACAGCCACCCCTCTGTCCAAGTATACCACGTTCACAGCCACCCCTCTGTCCAAGTATACCACATCCACAGCCATCCCTCTGTCCAAGTATACCACGTTCACAGCCACCCCCCTCTGTCCAAGTATACCACGTCCACAGCCATCCCTCTGTCCAAGTATACCACGTTCACAGCCACCCCTCTGTCCAAGTATACCACGTTCACAGCCACCCCTCTGTCCAAGTATACCACGTTCACAGCCACCCCTCTGTCCAAGTATACCACGTTCACAGCGACCCCTCTGTCCAAGCATATACCACGTTCACAGCCACCCCTTTGTCCAAGTATACCACGTTCACTGCCACCCCTCTGTCCAAGTATACCACGTTCACAGCCACCCCTTTGTCCAAGTATACCACGTTCACTGCCACCCCTCTGTCCAAATATACCATGTTCACAGCCACCCCTCTGTCCAAGTATACCACATCCACAGCCACCCCTTTGTCCAAGGTTTTGCTCACCTCCTCATAAAAAGAAATCAGATTTGTTTGACAACTTCTGTCTTTCACGAATCCATGCTGTCTGTTGCTTAAAATATTTTTTTCCAGCAAGAACTCATTTATGTGGTCTTTTATTAAACTCTCCAGTATCTTCCCAACTACAGAAGGTAAACTAACAGGTCTATAATTACTTGGTAAAGATTGAGTTTGACTCCTTTTTAAATATAGGCACCACAATGGCCTTACGCCAATCCAGTGGTACTATGCCAGTCATTAAAGAGTCCCTAAAAATTAGAAAAAATGGCTTTGAAATGACAAAGCTAAATTATTTTAGGATCCATGGGTGTATGCCGTCTGGTCCAGGTGCTTTATTCACTTTTATTCTGTCTAAATATTTCTGGACCATATCAATTTTGAGCCATTTGGGGCTGTGTCAATATCATCCCCATTATGGACAGGAGCTCTCCCATGCTTCACAGAGATGAAGGTATTTAATACATTTTCCTTCTCTTTGTCCCCCGTCACCCACTCTAGTATATTTTGTAAAGGGCCTACATGCTTGGACCGGACCTTACATTCTGGTAGAGCTTGACAAACAGCAGCGCTGATGGAGCCATTTAGCCTCCTGTGCAGTCATTTTTTATTTTGTGTACAGCCACCTTTTCTCCAAATACAGTGTCCTCAATTTAGTGGCTGTTTGAGTACCCATCTGTTGTCAGGGGGTTTGTTAGTGGCACTTGCATTTTGCAGTGACCTAAGTGTCTCTGTAAAGTGACATGGCTGACACTAAAATGTAGTCAGAATGTTCTGCGGTACATGACCTTTCCTCACAGAGCTCCTCTGTATGCATTAGTCGTAATGCTGTATTAGATACTGATATCAAGACTTCACTCTGTGTCACCTGTACTGTAGTCTCAACTGTGTCTGCTGCTGCCACCATATCTAATACCCTGAAGAAGGGACTGTGCAGTGCTCCAATACAGAAATTAACCTCTGGTGAATACATATCATATAATGTGCAACCAATTATGATCCAACTGTGTATACATCAATAAAAAAAAGTAGTGCTACCCCCGCAAGGGCCATAGGATTTCGGGCCTATTCCCCCACACAGCATTTACTGCCAGGCAACAGGAATTTCCCAATTTCTCTCCACATACTCAATGAACAATCTAGGGGAATTGGTTTTTGATTTTTTGGGATGCCCCAAACTGAAGAAATATTGCCAACTATTTACGAATGGTTGAGGACGTGCGAAAGTCTCTGGCTACTGTAGGCTGCTTCAAACTGAGCTGCACACCAGTGGTAATGATGACATAGCATGTAAAATGAACAAAAACTCCAAGAAGTCAAAGTTGTGGACACAGCACCTGGTGGTATTGCACAACACCTGACTGCTCTCAACCCAAGATAGAGATAATGAGGGGTGCTCCTGGCTGTCTTGCACTGCACTCAAGCTGTCCCCTAGGTCCCAGGCATGTGCGGTATTGCACTACACTGTCTTCTCCAAGATATTGGGTATGTTGGCTGGTAGGTACTCACACAGTCCCTTTAAATGGCTCCTTGAGTCCAGAGAGGTGGTGCACAGGCCTTTCTCTCTCCTGCTGCTCTTTCTCTTCCTTTTGCGCCAGGGGGGAAAGCCCCCTAGCACAGGGGGTCCCTCCAGACTACTAGACCCCGAATTCTGCTTCCCCAGACTGCCAGGCTTCTGAATATTTATGGACTGTATTTATGGTCCTTCCTCCCCAGGCATTGGTGGAAACTCCATGAATCTTCAGGCTGCAGCCTCTGTCCCTCCACCCGCTAGATTCTAAACCTATCCAGAAAGTTCCAGAAGGCATGGGAAGGTAGCAAGACCACAGCCTGTGAAGCTATGGATCGCCTCCCTAATCAATTAACCTCTGCTCCTATGGCTACAGAGAAGCAAAACTAAATTTAACTTGGAGGGGGCTACAAAAATATCAAAAGCCAATATGTGCAATGATTCAAAAAACAAATCTACTTTTGTGTTATATTTATAGTATATGAATCAACCAAAGTCTAAAACCAAGTACAATTTGTATTGTATTTTTATATGAATCAACAAAAAAGTCTCAAAGCCATTCTTGCAGTAAATTAAAATATGTGCTTCTCTCTTCTTCAAAAAGAAAGCCTTTCCCTTCCAACAGTCAACCACCCCAACTCATGTGTAATAACTAAACACTTACCCACATGTATCGACCTTTTAACTTGTAGGAGGTCATAAATCATATCAAAGGGATAGCGTCAACTTATACACCACAGCAATAGTATGTACCACGTGTCACTCCTCCTCCAGTTCAGAAAATGCACCAAAATGCCCTCTTAGGGTTTAAGCTGAATGAACTCATAAATAGAAAAGGCAAACCTGAGGTGGGTCTCACTTGAGAAAGGGGTTTCTACTCCGAAACGTTGTGATTCTCACCTCTGCCTGATCCTCAGTGTCCGCTTGTCAGCTGAAGGATTTTTTCTGGTATCTATCCATGTGTATTGATGTTTGATTATTGCTGTACTTTTAGCCTGGATCTCTTGCCTGTTCTAATGAAAATGTACTGTATATGATGCTTGTAGATGGGAGTTTGTCTTCGTCTAGGTAGAGGAACTGTGGAGAAATATTCTGCATGTACTCTCTTGTACTGTATGTCTTTTTATGATGCTTTCTTTAAAAAAAGATATGAAAATCAAAACATTAGCTGTCTGAGTGCTGCCTATTATTTATATTATTCTTGGGTCTTTCTTGAAACCCTTACATAGACCCAGTGAAGTGAATGGCCTCAGATGATACACAGAGATTAAACAAATCCTCCTACATAATTTGTACCTGTCAATCTGTAGCCCTCTCTTCTCTACATCCGTTCAAAGTGCTGAATGTTTAAAGCTTGTCTGAGAGTTCAGAAAAAAGGGGGTGGAGAGCTGAAGTTACACCTGCAGAGCTTAGAGAGGTAAACTGAGAGCTGATTGGAAGGAAGAGACAAACCCCCGCCACACAGCACACAAGAACAAAGCTGAGGCTTTCAATCTATTGGAGGTCCCAGCCCAGTCACCATTTTTCTCTCAGTGTCAGGAAAACTTGTCAGAAGTGATTCATGCAGTCAAGCAGCAAACAGAAATCACACTTAGTGCTCTTAATTGAGACAAGTACACATTATAGAGCAGTGATGGTGAACCTATGGCACGCATGCCAGAGTGGCACGCAGAGTCATTTCAGTGGACAAGCCAATAAGATGAGCACACAGGGACCGTGCACACTAACCAGCCATCCAGATCTGGTCCACACCGCACCCCCCATCAAACTACATCTCCCACACGGCTCTGGCGCCAGGGGTGACATATCCGGGTATGGGCGTGGATGAGAGGAAGCAGTTCCCACACTGCTCTGGGGGGGCGTGGATGGGAATGAGCTGGCGGGTTGGAAACCACACTGACACTGCCGGAGGTGAGATTAATTGCAGTGTTGGCCCTTTGAAATAAATAAATTGATTTTGTTTTTCAGTTTGGGCACTCGGGCTCAAAAAGTTTTGCTATCACTGCTATAGAGGAATATGCTTTGTGCATATTTCATGTCTGAAGTTTACAACCACTTGAAGAAACCCCAGCACCCATATGCATGTAATTAACCCTTTATGTACTGATGTTGTGATTTGGGTATGCATTCTTCAATCAAAAATCCTCAATCAAAGTTGTGTTTCTCAATGAACATAAGACAAAATAGAATTTTTTGTACTCACCGTAATTTCAGTTCATTGAGATAAACAGCCCACCCTTCTTTTGGGTTGTTACGACCTGTTGCTCAGATTTTGTATCTTAGATTTGGTATGTTAGCCTACTTTTGGCTCATATATTCTCTAATATACTTGTTCTGCTTGCTACTAGCTGATGTATATTGATAGTTGGTGGGGGTACCCACCCAATGCAGCTGTCTTCCTAGCTGCCTTCAGTTTTTTGCACTTAGTGTCCTATTCCTGAAAATAGGCAGCACAACTATTGGTACAGGCCGATCTTCAATCAAAACTGTGTCTCTCAATTAATTTAGAGAAAACAATTTTACATGAGAACAAAAAAATCAAATTTTTTTATAAGTGGGTTTTATCCTCCCAATAGTAAAACTATTAAAATTGACCAATACCAACAAATGAAGATTTAATGTGTATAATGCCCTGAAAATGTTACCTTTTTCATAATTCAATCATGAGTAGGATAAGCTTGGGTTTGGTCTGAACCTATATTCAGTCAAACCAGGATGGAACCTGTCACTTCTTGTCCTATCAGCTGCAGAATTCACCACCCTGTAACTGCACATACACAAAGGGGTCAATACTCTTGACATCAGACCTAATGTGGACACATAACATGGTAATTTAGGTCAATTGTTAAGCAAAGGATGGATCCCATGAAACTGCACATCTATGCAGACCCGCTGGTATTGAATTGAATGGCAGTCTCAGCCTGGGCTCCCACCAAGCCATGCTCCCAACACATTTCACTCTGCCCCTCGGAGCTTAATCATTTTAGGTCAATGTTCATTGTTGCCCTTTTGTGTACTTGCAGCTATGGCAAGGGGAATGCCCAGTGCCCAATCATGGCTGATTGGACCTGGCATAAACAGTTTCCATCCAGGTTTGACCGAGCACGAGTTTGGACTAAACCTAACCTCATCCTTAGTAATGAGAAGTTACAATGTTCTTTCAGGTCTCCTCCTTGCGCTTTACTGCTGTGTGGGGGTCCCTGCATAGACAGAGGTCATGTCCCCGTCACTCTACAGGGACTCCACATAGCATAAAATAACCATGTGCCCAGTCAGACCTCAGATACAGAGCAGGACCCACAGAGCAGAGAGAACTCTTAGGCTGCTCCTTGGTTCCATGAGTTTTTTTACTGGGGTGGGGTAATTTTGTGCTGGAGGGGATTTTTTTACCTCTTGAATACTTTCTGAGTGATATATAAATACAAGATGCTGAAATCACCCTGTGTGATGGTGTCACCTTTGTTAATCAGTGTTGCAGTGAATAAGGTAGGTGGGCATGGGAAGCCTTGAAATACAAGTTGGCATATAAACACGTGAGTCTATCACAGGACACCATGTGGAGCTGAAAAATTATTCTCACCATGTGCTACCATCATCAGTCAGCAGTCTGTTTTTTTGCTCACAGCATTATCAGAGTCTATGATAATGTGTTTCATGTGTTTTCATACTGGTAAAATCATATGCTATAAAGAAATTGGTGGGGAAGGTAGGCACTATTCTTGTTTTAACACTTTTGTACTTTATTATCTAATATTTAGCATTATCATTCCTGCATCTTGCATAAATAAAAACATTAGCTCTTGCCCATGCAATGTGAATCCCCAAACAGTTG